CGTCCGGATGAGTTCGGGTGGAGGTTTGTAGCGAGTTCGGACGATTTCGACACTCGGAAGTGTTCCGGAGTCATGGGAGGGGCGGGGGGGGCGGGGACAGCGGTAAATCATCACCCCAAGCAGCCAAAAGGACCGCTGTCAGCGGTGATATTCCGCTGCAGCGGTGGAATTTCTGCTGTAGCGGAAAACGGTCCGCGGCCGCGGTCATGAAGAAACCTCAGGTTCGTTGGTCCGACTTCGAAAGCCTATATGTTTCGATCTACAAGGAATATTGAGAGGATTCAAAAATGAAAGTTGTAGCCCTTCGTGTCTAGTTTCCAAAAAGGTAAAGAAATCATCATTTGGACATCTGTAGAGAAAGTTATGGCCAAAATACTAAGACCTGTCTGTGCAGCCACCAGAAGCGCGGACCGCGATACTTTTTTCGCGACCGCAGAGGGGTGAGTGCTGCAGCGGTGATTTTTCCGCGGTCAGTGGTGATGGAAATTCGGGGGGTGCACTATAAATACGATATTTAGGGTTTTATTTTATATTTTGACCTAGATAGCTCGGATTTTGGCGATTTTTCGAAGTTTTTTCAAGAAATTCATTGAGGTAAGTGATTCTAACTTGGATTTCGCTAAAATACATGAATCTATCATTGAGGATGAAATTTGGGGAAAATTTGTAAAGTCTTTCAAAACTGTAAAATGATGATTTGAAGGACCAATTGGTATCGGAGTTGGATAATTTTGGTATGGGTGAACTCGTATCGGAATGGGTATTCGGTTTTTGTAAATTTTGTCGGGTTCCGAGGAGCGAGCCTGGGGAGTTGACTTTCATTGACTTTTTGCGAATTGTATAAAATCATAGTGTTGTTAACTGAAATTGTTTTCTCTTGCATTAATTGATGTATTCAAGTCGTTTTTGGCTAGATTGAGCTGAGCGTTGGTGAATTGGTAAAGGAAAAGCTATTGAGTATTTGGCCGGATTGAGGTAAGTATCTTTCCTAACCTTATGTGGGGGACTTCCCCTTAGGATTGAGTCATCTATGTTGATTGTAGTTCGTGTACGCGAGGTGACGAGTGCGTGCTCGGACTTATTTGTGGAAAATTGGCCTTTTAAGGTTCTTAGGTCTTTATATTCACTGTGTATGAATGTGTTCTTGATATGACTAAGTTTTCTATTTACTAGTTTCACCTCTACTTGCTTAATTGGAATTAATTGCTTCATGATTCACTCTTATTGCCCAATTGACTCCTATTTGATTAAATTGAAGAATTTCGTATCTCCTATTGTTATGCTATCTTTTTCATAGCCGTTGTCTCATTTTACAATCATTATTATCCTTCCTAAAATTTGTTTAGTCTTAAGTGGAGCTAAAGATCATGTTTCCTTAATTGAATTGTCGAATATCCTCGAAATTGTCCAATCTTAAAAGAAGTTAGATAACCTATATCCTTGTTGACTTGCCCATATTTGGGACTATTTGACTCGTGTTGATTTCCTTGTTATTGACTTGTATATTGTGGGATCGTCGCTATATGTTAGTTTTTCCGTTGTTGAAGTTCCCTATATGCCAACATTCTTTTCTATGGTTATTCCTTGTGAGATGGTTCTGTCGTTTCCTTGTGATTTACAGTCCTTAAGTTGATCTACTTGTCTTACCTTGTATTATTGTCATTGTTGTTGTTTTATGTATTGTGGTGATGTACGAGCTTTATGTTGTGTTGTGACTGTTGGTTGCGCTGCGTGTTTACTTTGGGACTACGGATCGATATCCCGGGAGATCCCCCTGCATGTTTACTTTGGGACTACGGATCGGTATTCCGGGAGATCCCCCTGCACATTTACTTTTTGGGACTATGGGACTGCACCCGGGAGATTCCCCTGTATTGGATATTCACTTTGGGACTACGGGACGATATCCGGGAGATCCTTTGGACATTTACGTTTGGGACTACGGGACGATATCCCGGGAGATCCTTTGCACATTTACGTTGGGACTACGGGACGATATCCCAGGAGATCCTTTTTACATTTACGTTTGGGACTACGGGACGATATCCTGGGAGATCCCCTGTTAAAATCATTGCGTTCTGAGTTGATGTTTCATTGATCCTATCCCTGTGTAAACATTATAGGTGTTGTCCGTTCTATTCCTTATACTTACTAGTTGGTATGAACTATGTTAGGACACTTGCACAAGCATACACATGGTTAATCACCCTTATCGGGTAGGAGGCTCTTTGAGATTTCCGAGTATAGACGCACACCCTTGTTATTTGCCTTTCATGTGAGAATGACTCCTTTGGGGCACGTGAGTTGTCAGTATGATCAGGAGGTGTGTCGAGGGCACAGGATGCCAAGTGTTAGGGTTCAGGTATGGAGGCCCGTATTGTATGATTATGAGATGAGGTGTCACAGGGTGACTTATATTCGAAGATTTTCTATTTGAAAAGATTATATTTGAATGTACTTAAATTTTAATTAACTATTTTGAAATGTCACAGGGTGACTTATATTCGATGAATATTTGTTGAAAAGATTATATTCGAAAAGCATTATTTTGCAAGGAACTCTTTTGAAAAGAACAATTTTTGAAGGAAGTACATTTCGAACCATTTTTATCACTTGAAAGGTTTGACTATTGGATTGACGCTTACTGGTTAAGACTTAAGGTGAAAACTATCGGGGTTGTTGAGTTATAACTTGTCTTTACTGTATTCGGAATTTCGGATTTGGGTTGTATTCTCGCTTGCCTTTCCGTATCTTCCTTATGGTGTTCCGCTGAGTACTTGCTGTTTTCTTTCCCTATTGCAATTACTATATTGTTAGTTGTATCTCGTAGTCTTTACACAAATATCATGTTCTGTTTATTAGACCAGTAGGTGTCTTGACTGTTCCTCGTCACTACTCCACCGAGGTTAGTCTTGATACTTATTGGGCACCGCCGTGGTGTGCTCATACTACACTCCTGCACATTTTTTTGTGCAAATCCAGGTATTGTTCGCTAGTAGCTGTGCGGATTCTTGTCGAGGAGACTCAAGGTAGCCTTGTTGCTGCGTTCGCAGGCTTCGGAGTCACCTTCCTATTTTGTATTTATACTGTTGTACTAAATTCCATACGATTGTGTTTAGAAGTTGTAGCGAAACTCTGTAGAGCTTATGACTTGTACTACCAGGTTTGGGAAGATATTCATTGTACGAAGGATTCATTTCATAAGAATTTTAGATGTTACTATTTATTGTTGTTATTCCGCAATTATTAGGCTTACCTAGTCCTTAAGACTAGGTGCCATCACGAAACCCAACAGAGGGAAAATGGTTGTGACAATAGTATTTTTAGATTATGTTAATTTTCATTATGGCTTATTAATTAGCAATATTTGTTTTATGTAATTTATTATTTTATCTTTGTTATTGAATATTTTAGTATATTGCAACTTATCTCATATTATTGTGTTAGTTTCTTGAAAAACACATTATATTGTTGTATTTTACTAGGACTTAAGAAATATTTGGAGCACAAGTTACATATTTTATGCTATGAAGACTTTACCGGAAAAAAATACGAAAAACCCGAGAATTACCGAGATTGAAAAATCCGACTTTGTTGGTTTGGTTTATAAATTTAAAAATTCGACACCATTGATTTGGTTTGATAATTGAAAAATCCGAACCAACCCGACCTATGCACACCCCTAGTTAGAAGATTGGTTAGGGTCTGTTCCA